CAGCCCCTCACCCATCCGTCTTCTTTCCAGGACAGACCCAGGCTAGACCCTCCCTCTCAGTGCATCCGGGCCCCACAGTGACCTCAGGACAGAATGTGACCCTGCTGTGTCAGTCACAGGGATGGATGGACACTTTCTTTCTGACCAAGGAGGGAGAAGCTGATGCCCCCCTGCGTCTGAAATCAAAGCACCAGTCCCACATGTACCAGGCTGAATTTCCCATGAGTCCTGTGACCTCAGCCCACGCGGGGACCTACAGGTGCTACGTCTCATTCAGCTCCAACCCCTACCTGCTGACTCGCCCCAGTGAGCCCCTGGAGCTCGAGGTCTCAGGTGGGGAGGAGCCGCGTCTCAGGGCAGCGCCAGGTGGGATGATATTGGGACGAGAGGGCTCAGGGCTCCTGGGGCCAGAGACACAGGAAGATCAGCAGTGGTGAGGCCCAGGGGGAGAGGGAGGGTTTGTGGGGAAGCCTGAGGGTCGCTCCTGGAAACCGTGACCACCTTTTCCCAGGTGTTTCTAAGAAGCCATCACTCTCAGGGCAGCCGGGTCCTGTCGTGGCCCCTGGGGAAAACCTGACCCTGCAGTGCGGCTCTGATGCCGGCTAGGACAGATTCGCTCTGTACAAGGAGGGGGGACGTGACTTCCTCCAGCGCCCTGGCCGGCAGCCCCAGGCTGGGCTTTCCCAGGCCAACTTCACCCTGGGCCCTGTGAGGGGCTCCCATGGGGGCCAGTACACATGCTACAGTGCACACAACCTCTCCTCCGAGTGGTCGGCCCCCAGTGATCCCCTGGAGCTTGTGGTCTCAGGTGAGGGCCCTGATCCTGTCCTCTCTGAGCTCAAAGGCTCAGCTCAGGCCCTGCCTCCAGGGGAGCTCTGGAACAATAATGATGGAGGGCAGTGAACGGGGAGGGTCCGCAGGGAACGTCCCAGCCCATGAGAGGGTGGAAATAGACGGGACCTCCCACCCCTGGCTCCCGCCTCTGAAGTCTCAGTAGGGTAAAGAGCAGGGAGGGCTGGGAGGAGACGGGGGTGAACCTCAGAGATGAGATTAGACTGAGGGTGGAAGACAGAGGCCCCACCCGCTCCCCTCCTGATGTCTCCACCTCAGAATCAGAGTCTCTGGGGGTCCCAACCTCTAAGTCCTGACTCATGGGTGACAAAGAAACAGCCATTCCCAGCTCGAGAGAAGTTTCTAGACTCATCTCAATGCTACCTCCAATATTCAGGATCTGATTTCCAGAGCAGCAGAGGGCAGGGTGGACAGTAAGGGTGTGGTCCGCGTGGCTTCCTGGCGCTCCAGGGATGGGGCAGGTGCTCCCTCCGTGGTGGTCAGAGGGGAGGGAGGTGTCTGAGGTTCGGCATTGATGAGTGGAGCAGCGGGCACTTTCCCCCTCCCCGAGCAGGATTCCCAGGAGCCATCACCTCTCATGGGGAGCCAGGGCCAGTGGAGATCACAGGCAGGTGCTTGCTGTAGGAGTCAGGTGGGAGGAGCCTGGGGAGGTGGGGCTGGGGCTGTGATGGCTCAACTTCTCCTTGGGAGGTGGAACTTCTGAAAAAGTGGGTTCCACTTGCACCCTGGACTCCCCATCTGAATAACGGGGAACTGCCTAGATGTGATCACCCCAAAGCCCCTTCATTTCTGACCTTCTGGGGCATCTGGGATGTGGCTCATCCTAGATCTGCTCCTATCTCCAGCCCTCTCAGGCCCTGTCCTGATTGTCCCAATAACTGTAAGGGTTTAAAAAAAAAAAAAAAAAAAGCCAATGGAGATGGGGGCAGGTGCATGCAGTTTTGCTCATCCCTCCTGGAATCTCAGCTTAGTAAGACAAAGCCACACTATTTTGGAAAGAACAAAAGTTTACAAACCCCACTGGTTGACAATCTCCCCTGTCTCATGTATAAGAGAAAATCTCTCCATTTTTCTACTAAAAGCAACACCTGGCACAGCTCTGCAGGACCCCCAGACTCCGACCTTGTCCTGCAGGGTGTGTGATGAGTAGAGAAAGGAGAACAGGCTGGGTCAGCAGGATTTGGGGCCCAGTCTGACTTGGACACGGGGAAGATGCTGGACTAATGGAGGAGGAAGAGAGGGAGGCGAGATGGAGAGAGGACAGACAGACGTTCCCTTGGCAGCTGTCATTTCTCATTTCCAAGGGTCCCTGAGAATGAGCCCCTCACCCACACCTGCGGGGTCCCTGGGCCATCTCAGGACCGGAGAAGAAGCTGCTCGGGCCTCGGTGGGATCTGACTGTGATGAGGCTGGAGTCTGCCCCAGACCTGCTCCTTTAGAGAGAAGCACCCCGGCTGTGGGTGCCCCTCACACTGCCCCTCCTGTGCTCATCTGGAGGAGGCTTCTGTGCTCAGGGCACCCCTGAGAATAAGGAGGGGCTGTGCACCTGCTCCCTGAACGAGTTAGGGAATTATTCACAGCTCATCTTTTGTACAACTCATTTCTACTCTGCGTTTTCTATACGCACGTGTCCATCGTTCCTTTTTTTCTAAAACGTTTAAAACAATATTTGAATATATAAATTTATAATTGTGTTTGTTGTATGCATTTATTATTTAAAAATCATGAATGATACTCCCCCTTTAATTGGGTCTTGATTTAATTCACACATTCAATGTAGAAACAAATTTCTCATTAATATCAAACCTTCCTCCTTTAGACATTCAAAATGGAAATTTTCTTAATGAATGTAAGAAGTGTTTTGAAATTTTGCTCATAAGAATATTGTATGCTCATTTTAACTTAAAGACTCATTCAACATCTTTAACAATTTTTAGGTGAGATATTTGATTTCTTTATCTTTTTTAAAATAAGAGAGAGGTATCCATGAGAAAGCGACTGGTTTCAGCATATTCTTTTAAATTCGTGTTCACTCACTGCAGAATCGCTCCTTTCTAATTACTTTTCAGTAGATCTCTTTTAATTTCTGGTAAAATTTATATAAATTATAAAACATGGAAATTTGATTTCTTTATTTCTAAATTGCATAGCAATATTTCTCACTCAAATACTAACATGTATATAACTTCATATTAAGCATATATCTGAAGTTTTACATATATACACGTTTATGTACAGTTATATACTTACATCTGAATGTGTGTAGGTATATCTAAATACATTTTTATGTGTATTCATCCATATGCTTAATACATTTGACGTGACAGGTCTTTACATGTTTGTTGCTGGTTTTCTCAGCTAGATTCACACTTCCTGAAAGCAGAAATACTGATTTATGAAGCTCGGATAGCACCACCACTTAGCACATGCTTATCTGTGTGTGTGGGTGTGTGTGCACCTGTATTGCATTCTAGGGGTTCCTGCCTGCATGAGGAATTCGTTACCTAGGGATTAAACGGAAGATGAAACCCCAGGTGAAGTGGCTGAGGGCATGAAGGGGAGGCAGGTCCAGACTCTCAACCCTTTGTGCTCCTGACATTCAGGAGCCCCTGAGGTCCAACCCCTCCTCCATGGAGCCTGGGTCTTCAGCTGGTGGATACGTGAGACTCTCATCTCCAGGGAAATTGACTGCTGTGGTCCTGCACCTGCTCCTTGCAGCCTGTTAGGGCTCAGAGAGCACACAAGGTCCCAGGATGCACAGAGAGCACACAAGGTCTTAGTTATTTCTGGACTGGGGACCACTTTCCTGATAGATGCTGAGCTCTCGGGGTGCAGGAAAACTCTCCCGAATGACTCAGGAGCCGAGCTTGGATTTGTAGGGCACAGGAAGTCTGACATAATTAATGAGGACACTGGAGGGAACTCTGCTACAGCAGAGGAAGGGTTTCTGAGGAACTCCATAAAACTCATGTCAGTAGACACAGGGGAAGAGAGGAATGCAGAGGCCAGGAGCGAGGCTGGGCTCAGGGCTCTTCTCCACTGTTTTGATTCTCAGGAGCAGCTGAGACCCTCAGCCCGTCACAAAACCAGACAGACTCCAAGACTGGTGAGTGAGGAGATGCTCTCGGTTATGGGGCTGGCACAGAGGGTCAGGGACTGTCCAGGGGAGGTGGGTGCCCTGGGTGGACATCCAGGGGTCCCGGGGTGATTCTGACGTGCTCTGACCTCTGTGACCTCTTTGTCCACCACCCCTAGGCCAACACCCACAGGATTACACAGTGGAGAATCTCATCCGCATGGGCGTGGCTGGCTTGGTCCTGGCGGTCCTCGGGATTCTACTATTTGAGGCTCAGCACAGCCAGAGAAGCCACCAAGATGCAGCCGGCCGGTGAACAGCAGAGACGACAATGCATCCTTCAGAGTGGTGGAGCCTCAGGGACAGATCTGATGACCCCAGGAAGTTCTGGAGGACAATCTAGGACCTCCGTTATCTGAACTGTCTGCTGGTCACTTCCAAAGACAAGAATCCATATTTGAGTGCAGGGAAACTGTCTGGGGTGATTCCTAGAAGATCATTAAACTGTGATACATTTTTTTTAACTATGAATGTTGACTTTCCTCGAATGGATCCCCCTTTTCTCCCATCCCCAGACATGAGGCTCCATCCCACAAGGCAGCGTTGGGTCCACACCTCTGCACACCTGCATGCTCTGGTCCACGGCATGTAACACAGTCTTCCTTATTCCTCATTGTCACACTCCTTGATGTCCCTTACTGAGTCCCCATCTCTTCAGTTCAGAGATCCAAATCTGAACCACCAACTAAGTCAACGACAGATCAAATTCCAACCAGATAAAGATAAATCCACCCTGATGCCCTGACAGCCTCTCTGCACCCTTCGTGCTCTTCCCTCCTTCTCAGATGCTCTGTGCGCAACTTTTCCTGAAACATCACCACTTGGAATCATCACCCACACATTTCAAGAGACACCACAGCTATGCTGATTCTGAAAAAGACATCTTTAAAATGCTATTATTGGTGGTATCTACCAATTCCTGTGACATAAATATTTCTTTTCATGGCCCACATCAAGGTGCCAATAGGTTCTCACTGAATGTAGGGTTGGGAAGCGAGGGACACAGGTGTCTTCACTAATGAGCACCAGGCGCCTGTGGCACATCCCACTGAGAGCTCACCCATATACCTACAGTCCTTTCTAATTCAGAGGCAATGATCACTTCGACTTCAGTGTTATGGCACAGGTCAAATGAAACTCTGACACTGCTATCCTAGCATATCCACAAAAGACAGACATATTAATATCTGATGTGAGAGATAACACGGCTCACTTAAAAATCTAAGTACAACATAAGAAAGATGTTAACATAATTGTGCAGGTTCAATGAAAGAATGTTTTGTTCTTTTGTTTTGTTTTGTTTTGTTTTGTTTTTGAGATGGAGTTTCGCTCTGTCACCCAGGCTGGAGAGCAAAGGCGCAATCTCGGCTCACTGAAACATCCCCCCTCCCAGGTTCAAGCGATTCTCCTGCCTCTGCCTCTCGAGTAATTGGACTACAGGTGTGCACCATTATTCCCGGCTAATCTTTGTATTTTTAGTAGAGACAGGGGTCTCACCATGTTAGTCAGGCTGGTCTTGAACTCCTGACCTCAGGTGATCCACCGGCCTCAGCCTCCCAAAGTGCTGGGAATACAGGTGTACACCACTGCACCTGGCCGATGGAAGAATTCTTAAATGACTTGTCCTACTGTCTGCTGGTTCAGTCACTCCTTGGCTTGGGGCAATGTCACGCCAATTTATGCCTCCATCTTCTCAGCCTATGTCTACCTGGGTACCTCTGTTTTCACATCCATTCTTCTCTGTGTGTCTCTTCTCTTCTTCAGATTATGATATCACTCAGATCAAATTAGGACCCATTCTAATTCATTATGATCCCTTGATCATGACTTAAATGCATTTGCAAAGACTCTATTTCCAACTATGTTCACATTTATAGCTAATGGAGCTCAGCATTTCAACATGTATATTAGAAGAACAAGTCAATTTATAACAGTGTCTGCAAGAAAAGTACTCATAGAAATACATTTATCCAAATACAAAAAGTAGCTGGGCGTGGTGGCACACGCCTGTAAATCCAGCTACTCAGGAGCCTGAGGCAGCAGAATCGCTTCAACCCAGGAGGCAAAGGTTGCAGTGAGCTGAGATCGTGCCATGGCACTCCAGCCTGGGCAACAGAATGAGACTCTGTCTCAAAAAAAAAAAAAAAAAAGAGAGAGAAATACATTTAACCAAAGAGATGCAATACGTACACATTGACAATTTAAAACTACTGCTCAAAGAAATAACAAAAGACCTAAATGAGGAAAACGTCATCCCAGTATCATAAACCAAAAGGCTTAAGGTTAGTTCTGTCCCTCTTCCATGTCCTGCACCCTCCTCCTGCTTTGACAAGGTTTATCATTAGGTATTCTTCAGGACGTCAGGTTTATCATTAGGTATTCTTCAGGACGTCAGGAATTCAGATAAGATGCTCTCAAGAGAACACTTGCCCAGCAACGGCATTTCCTCCAAAGGACTGACAGCAACTCTGGCTTTGAACCTCTGGAACCAGGGAACTCTGTTTCTAGGCAGCTCTGTCAGCCTCTCCCTTGTTGCTGATAAGAACTTCCTCTACCTCTCTACGTACAGAAAGCTCTCTCTACAGTGCTTTTCCTCTACTGTCACATCAGAGGAATCATCAACACAGAAGAAGACTTCTAGGAACAGATGTGTGGGATTTTTTTTTCCCCAGACCCAGTAGCGAACAGCAGCTGGGTGTCCTCTAAGTCAGCTCTAACGCTGTCTACCCAGAGACAGTCCCACATCCCACAGATTAAAGGCTAAGTCCCCAAGACTGTCCCCCACACCATTCCCAAGTGCAGACCTCCCGAACTTCTGATCGACTGGCTTCAAGTTGGGGATCCCATGACCCCCTCTTTGGGTTTGATTAATTTCCTGTAGCAGCTCACAGAACTCAGAGAAACACTGACATTTCGTGGTTGAAAACAAAGCACACTGCAGAGGACACAGATGAAGAGACACATAGCAGGAGGCATGGGGGAAGGGGCGCGGGGCTTCCATGCCCTCCCTGGGCGCCACCCTCCAGGAGCTTCCACATGCTCAGCCATTCAGAAACTCATGAAACCCAGTCCTCCTGGGCTTTTATGGAAGCTTCATGATGTCAGCATTTCCTCCCACAAGGAACAGGGTGAGACCATCTTCTAGATGGGTCTTAAGAGCCACCATCAGAAAGGCAGGGAACATTCGAGTCGTGCCTTGGGCAGGTGAAGGAAGGGCAGGAGGAGGTCAGAGGTCCCCCCCAGGCCCAACACAGCCAACATTCTAATGAAAGACTGTAACAAGCGTTATGGGAGTTATGAACCAGGAACCGTGGGTGAAAACCAGCATATATCCCAACATCACACTTCCCTCCCTGGATGCACTGTGGCTTGCCATTCCATGCACTCCAGATTGTAATCCTTGTTTCTCACTCCCAAATACACTCAAAATCCAGGCAACCCTGGAGCAATGCAACCTTGAATTCCTGGGGTCTCTTATGTGCACACTGTTTTCAAACAAATGGCATCAAAACTATTGCATTTGTGAGAGGCAAGACTTGTCTATATGAACAGCGGGCTTTTCCTATATGCAGGTCCAGCAGACACAATGTCAGGGCTGGAGTACCAGGAAGTTTTGTTACGTGTAGCGGGTACTGAAACGAGTTGCCTGTGTATCCCAAGAAACAACTGGACTGAGAGATCGTATTCTCTAGGGGTTTATTTTTGTTTTTATTTTTATTTTAGGTTAAAGCTTTGGATAGAACACCCAGTGTCTCCTTGTCCATCTGAAGAACATGCTGCTATGTGGAAACACATCCTTGAGATTCACGAGGAGACACTGGGCAAGGAGATAAGGATGCCCCACTCTATGGAAGTCCCCCTAATAAATGCTCTGTGAACACCCTGGTGTTTAGTGCTTCTTTCTATGGAATCCCAGCAGCTCTATCACTGGACGGTTTGGTGCACTCCTTTGAGGGAACTCCTCTGCACTGCTTGGGGTCCACTCGAGCCTCAGGTGTGGCTGGAAGATGCAGCCTCCCACCTTGGTCTGGAGCCCTGAGCTCCTCACTGTTATTACAGATCCCGAGGCTCCTCTCCGGGCTGCACTCAGTGGCGGAAAGCTACACCCTAATGAGCCCTTGATGGTCCCGGGACCCTGTGGCATCTCACCTCTGACTTCTGTTCTTTCTTGTGGATCCTTCTACACTCGGGGCTTCCACATGTCTTTTTCTGCTCATGCCCTTGACGCTCTGGGTATTTCAGAAATGCCTGATGTACATTTCTCCATGAGGGTCAGATGTGACATCTTAAGTGGAGACATCAATCACCTTCAGAGACTGTGGAGTCCAACACCAAGATCCTCTCATGTCCCAAGCACCTCAGGTCTTACCCTGATCTGGAAATCAAGCACAAATGAGCCCCTCCCAATGTCCCAGGCACCACTGACCCCACAACCACTGTGATGAGTGGGATTCATGACAACAGTCTGCAAAGGAAGAAGCTGAGGCTCAGAGATGGGACACTACAAACCAAGGTCACATAGGCAGTGGATGAAAACCAGTCATCAAATAAGTATCAACTCCCTCCTCAACTCCTCAAATCAAAGCGCAAACATAAGTCATTGTTCCCAAAATGTTGACCAGGAATCGAGGTGCAGAGGGACGGCCAAGGATGCAAGGGGTACCGAGGAGGCAGGAAAGACTCAGAGGTTTGTTCCTGGGGGGAGGGGTGGACGCTCTAGCAAAAAAAAAAAAAAACAAAAAAACAAAAGGAGAAGTTGAGAGGGAACTATTTTGTTGAAAGAAAACCCACAATCCAGTGCCAAGAAAGAAGTCAACTTTTCTTCCCCTATTTCCCTGCATTTCTCTTCTGTCCTCACTGCCACACGCAGCTCAGCCTGGACGGCACAGCCAGATGCGAGATGCATCTGTGCTGATCTGAGTCTGCCTGTAGCATGGACCTGCGTCTTCCCTGAAGCATCTCCAGGGCTGGAGAGATAACTGCCATGGTAAGGACCCCGCAACGCTGTGCTGATGGACGGGATGAAGGAGGGAGGGAGACCTTGGGGGAAGCTGTAAGAAGGAAGGGGAAGCCTCCGCTACCCTCATCTGGAAGGGCAGACACAGGAAGCACCAGTTCTATTTGCCACTACATCCCAGCTCTCCGTGAGACGAGGATAAACCAGACAGACAGTGGCTGGGGGTCAGGAAAGACCCCATTTCTGTCTGAAATGTCTGCAGAGGGCCCGGTGCCTGCCCCAACCTCAGCCCTAAGAGAATGAGAGTCAGGATCCTGGGAGGTCAGTTCTGCTTCCTGTGTAGCTGCAGATGACAACACCCCGTGAGAGGGACCCAGCCTCCGAGTGTCCACACAATGAGGGAAGGAGGGGAGGCTATTTCTCTCTGTGTGTCTCTGTCCTGCCAGCACCGAGGGCATATCCATCCGCACAGCAGGGCGTTGGGAGGAGACGCCATGACCCCCATCCTCACGCTCCTGATCTGTCTCGGTGAGATTTAAAGAGGGAGGGGAGATTCTAACCTAGGAGGGACCTCACCCCACAGCCAAACTCTGGTGCATAAGGAGACCCCAGGGGCTCACAAAGATCCCAGGGAGGGGAGGACCTTCTCAGGCTTCAGGGGCAAATCTCTCACAGGGAACTCTCTTCCAGGGCTGAGTCTGGGCTCCAGGACCCACGTGCAGTCAGGTGAGTCTGTCCCCAGGTGTCCCAGGTCCCTCCTCCTCACTGGGGACAAGGCGCCACCTCCGTGCAGCTGGGGATGGGGAATAGCAGATCTGGGCTGACTGATGGGGGCGTCTGGAGGGTCCTGCAGCCAACAGCTGAGATCTGTTGGGTGGGAAATGACTTAGAATCCGATCTCTGATTTCCTTTTAGGAATCCTCCCCAAGCCCACACTCTGGGCTGAGCCAGACCGTGTGATCACCTGGGGGAGTCCCGTGACCCTCAGGTGTCAGGGAAACCTTGAAGCCCGGGAGTACCGTCTATACAGGGAGAGAAAATCAGCATCCTGGATTACATTGATACGACCAGAGCTTGTGAAGAAGGGCCAGTTCCCCATCCCATCCATCACCTGGGAAGACGCAGGGCGGTATCGCTGTCAGTATTACAGCCACAGTTGGTGGTCAGAGCTCAGTGACCCCCTGGAGCTGGTGGTGACAGGTGAGAGGACACTCAGGGGTCCCAGCCCCAGGCTCTGTCCTCAGGAAGGGGGTCGGCTCTCAGGGGCGTCTCCCTCTCACAGCCCAGCCCTGGGGATGATGCAGGAGGTGTGAGACCCATTTACACTGTGTCTCCTTCTCTCCTAGGAGCCTACAGAAAACCCACCCTCTCAGCCCTGCCCAGCCCTGTGGTGGCCTCAGGAGGGAACGTGACCCTCCAGTGTGACTCACAAGTGGCATTTGATGGCTTCATCCTATGTAAGGAAGGAGAAGATGAACACCCACAACGCCTCAACTGCCAGTCTCATGCCCGTGGCTGGTCCCGGGCCGTCTTCTCCGTGGGCCCCGTGAGCCCGAGTCGCAGGTGGTCGTACCGGTGCTATAGTTATGACTCACACTCTCCCTATGTGTGGTCTTTACCCAGTGATCTCCTGGAGCTCCTGGTCCCAGGTGAGAAATTCACAGCATTGCCTGGAGTTCCCTGAGTCTCCGGGCAGGTGGGGAGGAGCCGCGTCTCAGGGCAGCTCCAGGTGGGATGATGTTGGGAAGAGAGGGCTCAGGGCTCCTGGGGCCAGAGACACAGGAAGATCAGCAGTGGTGAGGCCCAGGGGGAGAGGGAGGGTTTGTGGGGAAGCCTGAGGGTCGCTCCTGGAAACCGTGACCACCTTTTCCCAGGTGTTTCTAAGAAGCCGTCACTCTCAGTGCAGCCGGGTCCTGTCGTGGCCACTGGGGAAAACCTGACCCTCCAGTGTGGCTCTAACGTCGGCTATGACAGATTTGCTCTATACAAGGAGGGAGAACGTGACTTCCTCCAGCGCCCTGGCCGGCAGCCCCAGGCTGGGCTCTCCCAGGCCAACTTCCCCCTGGGCCCTGTGAGGGGCTCCCATGGGGGCCAGTACAGATGCTCTGGTGCACACAACCTCTCCTCCGAGTGGTCGGCCCCCAGTGACCCCCTGGACATCCTGATCGCAGGTGAGGAGCCCTGTGGGTTCAGTCAGGGACCCAGGCTCTGCACAGGCCCTGCCAGGGGATCCTAGGTGGTGATGGCCGGGATGAGGGGTGGGGGTCCCAAGGGAGGGAGAGACAGACAGACACAGGGATGGGTGGAGACGGGGGGGAGACTGAGAGAAAACAGAGACAGAGAGACTGAGTGTCCTAGAGAGAGCCCTGGGGAGGTCTCAGCTCAGAACAAGGTGGGGCAGTCCCTCACCCATCCGTCTTCTCTGTAGGACAGACCCAGGCTAGACCCTCCCTCTCAGTGCATCCGGGCCCCACGGTGGCCTCAGGAGAGAAAGTGACCCTGCTGTGTCAGTCACAGGGATGGATGGACACTTTCTTTTTGACCAAGGAGGGAGCAGCTGATGCCCCCCTGCGTCTGAAATCAAAGCACCGGTCTCACATATACCAGGCTGAATTTCCCATGAGTCCTGTGACCTCAGTCCACGCGGGGACCTACTGGTGCTACGGCTCATTCAGCTCCAACCCCTACCTCCTGACTCACCCCAGTGAGCCCCTGGAGCTCGTGGTCTCAGGTGAGGGCCCTGACCCTGTCCTCTCTGAACTCAAAGGCTCAGCTCAGGTCCTGCCCCAGGAGAGCTCTGGGCTGGGATGGAGTGAGCAGGGATCTAAGCGGGGCTTAGCCAGAAGGGCACTCACCTCAGAGGGAAGGAGGACAACAGGGCCCTCCCAGGCATGCCCACCCTCAGCGGCATCACCAGCATCATGAAGAGGAGAGGTGGGTGGAGGGAGCGGCCTGAGGAGGCCACATGGCCCGTGTAGAGAAATTTGGTTTGAGGTGGGGACTGCAAGGAAGCCCCGCTCCTCAGCTTCCTCTCATTCTTTAACCCAGGACCCTCTGGGGGTCCCAGCCCCCCACTCACTGGTCCCACCCCCACACCTGGTGAGTCTCTCAGGCCTCTGGGCTCAGAGGGAGCACGGCCTCCCCCACATTTCCCAGAGTCCCATTCCCCTCGGGGACTCAAGCTCGGGCTTCCATCTTGGAGCTGGGCAGAGCCAGAGGAGGGGCCACAGGCTCCCAGGGGCTCAGGCTGGGCCGGTGAGGGGTGGGGTCGAGGCAGAGGGACGCGTTGGGGCCCAGCCTGGGGGAGGAGCAGCCGGGCTGACATGGGGGGCAGGGCAGCCCCAGCCCTCACCTTCCCATCCTGACCCAGCAGGCCCTGAGGACCAGTCCCTCAACCCCACGGGGTCAGACCCCCAGAGTGGTGAGTGGGGGCTCTGAGAGGGAGGTGGGCGGGGTCCTGGGGAGGCAGGGGTGGGTTCTGTCCTAGGTTCAGCCTCCTCTGGAGATGGTGACGTGGACAGGCCCCTCCCCTGCCTGGGCCTCAGTTTCTCCAGGTGTAAAGGAAAGAAGCTTGCGGGTGGGAACGTTCCTTTCAGCTCTGACTCCCAGCTGTGACCTCCTGGGAGAGGAGACCTCCCAGGGAAGCCTCCCAGACCCGATTCCACAGGGGCTTGTCCTGTCCCACCTGCAGCAGTGACGGTGACCTGGGGCAGGGGAGGGGAGCAGGGCTGTGGTTCAGGACGGTCAGGCTCTTTCCCTGCATCTCTGGGGCTCAGCTCTGGTGCAGGGAACAAGGGCTGTGGGTCAGACTCCCGGGTTCCCTTCCCAGCTCTGCCGCTTCCCGGCTGGGGGTCCTGGGGCAGGCGATTCCCCTCTCTGAGCCTCAGTTTTCCATCTGTAAGGTGGATGGGTTGTGTTTCCATTCCGTGCTGTACGACTGTTGTGGGGGTTAGAGGTGGTGAACAGAAGGTCCAGCACACAGTTGGAGCTCATGTCAATGACATCACCCCCATTTCTGATGTCATCATGCTCAAGGTCTGGGAAGGCACCTGGGGATTGTGACCGGCGTCTCAGTGGCCTTCGTCCTGCTGCTCTTCCTCCTCCTCCTCCTCCTCCTCATCCTCCGATATGGACGTCAGGGCAAACGCTGGACATCGGGTGAGTAGGGAAGGGGGCACCCCATGGGCCGACCGAGGGTGGGCTCAGGGTGCAGCCAAAGGGAATCCAAACCACTGGGCAAATGCAGCTTTGAGGAACTGTTCCAGCATTTCTCACCAGGCGAATGGAAAAAGCACTTAATGTCAGTCCCGTCTACAAATGTAAAGTGTCCTTCGGGCTCTGTCCATCTCATGGGGCGTTTGGAACACGGAGGCAGGAGTGTTTTCCGGTTTCCTTCCTTACCTTCCAGCTGTGTGTGGGGGGCAGGGGGCTCCGATGTTCCCAGGGCTGAGGCTCTGTGCTTCTTCCTCCAGCCCAGAGAAAGGCTGATTTCCAACATCCTGCAGGGGCTGTGGAGCCAGAGCCCAGAGACAGAGGCCTTCAGAGGAGGTAATTCTGCCCGAAGACCCCAGACTCCCACCGGGCCCGTACACTGCCCCTAAAGCTCCCGTTCCTCCCCCAGGTCCAGCCCAGCTGCCGACACCCAGGAAGAAAACCTCTGTGAGTGACAGGAAGAGGCGACCAGCCAGGAGGAGATGGGGGAGGCGACCAGCCAGGAGGAGATGGGGGAGGCGACCAGCCAGGAGGAGATGGGGGAGGCGACCAGCCAGGAGGAGATGGGGACCCCAAAGTTTCCGTAGCAATGGGGAAAGGGGCACAGGCTGGAAAGGGTCTGGGGCTCAGGGTGAGATGATCTCACCCCACACTGTGGAACCTCGGGGACATCGCAGCCCCTCCCTGCATCGCAGTGGCCCCGTCTGGGAGCTGGGCAGGGGCCGGCAGGACTGAGAGGTCTCAGGGAACCCTCCCAGGAGACAAACCCCTTGCTCTGCCCCAGCAGATGCTGCCGTGAAGGACACACAGCCTGAGGACGGGGTGGAGCTGGACAGTCAGGTGAGACCCCGCCCCTGTCCCGGGCACCAAAGGCCTCCTGGTGCCAGATCTAATCCTGCAGGACTTCTCTGGCCTCTTCCCCCGGTTCTCAGCATCGTCACGGTGGACCCCTCCTTGTCCAGCACGCTGCCTCCCGCCTGCTGTGACCTCACTCTCTCCTGCTGTCCTGGGACCTCGTGGGCCTCCTCCCGGGTCCCCTTCCCGCTCCTCCTCCTCTGTTTGGCCGTCTGGTGGTTACAGCGCTCCCCAGGCCTCAGGAGGATGAGGAATAGATGAACCACCCTTGTCCCCTGGGCTCCCTCCATTCATCCATCCAGCGAGTGTTCCCAGGTGCTCACTGTGGATCGGGCTCCCTGTGGGAGCTGCAGACACAGCAGGGGGCAGAGCCGCCCCCGCCTCCGGAGCTCACCTCGTGGTGGGAGACAAAATGCAAATAAATGCAGTGTCCAGCAGTGCAACGTGCTGTAAGAAACATAAACCAGGGAAAGGGCAGAGTGTGGGGCAGTGGGGCCAGTCTGAATGTAAGGGGAGGGCTGTCTGCTCAGCTGTCATCTGAGAAGCCTGGACGGAGGGGGCCACAGGATCCTCTAATGGACGAGCCCCTGCAGGCAGAGGAAACAGCCGTGCAAAGGCCCCGAGGCAGCAGCGAGCTCTTGCAGGAAGGCGGGCATTAGGCTGCAGCCAAATGGGCAAGGTCAGAGTGAGGAGGAGAGGCCAGAACCACAGGGAGGGAGCGGCCAGACTCTCCACGGCCTTAGGGCATCCCTGAGATTCCATCAGGAAAGGGATGTAATCGGATCATCCTGGGAACAGTGGGGAAAATTGACTCCAGGGGGTCAGGGGGACTCAAGGACACCCCCCACCAGTGTCTTTCTCCAGCAGAGTGCACACGATGAAGACCCCCAGACAGTGACATACGCCCAGGTGAAACACTCCGGACCTAGGAGAGAAATGACCTCTCCTCCCTCCCCACTGTCCGAGGAATTCCTGGACACAAAGGACACACAGGCGGAAGAGGACAGGCCGATGGACACTGAGGTGAGTCCTTTCCTCTCCAGGCCCCCAGGCCTCCCCCACCCCCACCACGCTCCTTCCCTCTCACTCTCCCCCACTGCAGGCTGCTGCATCTGAAGACCCCCAGGATGTGACCTACGCCCAGCTGCAGAGCTTGACCCTCAGACGGGAGGCAACTGAGCCTCCTCCAACCCAGGAAAGGGAACCTCCAGCTGAGCCCAGCGTCTATGCCACCCTGGCCATCCACTAACTCGGAGGGGACCCAGACCCCACACTCAGCAGAAGGAGACTCGGGACTGCTGAAGGCACGGGAGCTGCCCCCAGTGGACACCAGTGAACCCCAGTCAGCCTGGACCTCTGGGAACTTTGGGAATCGCTTGATTCTGCAGTCTAAATAACTAATATCCCTACATTTTTAAATTAAACAACAGACTTCTCAATAATCAACGAGTTAACTGAGAAAACTAAAATCAGAAGTAAGAATGTGCTTGAAACTAAATCACAATATAAATATTACACACCACACAATGAAATGGAAAAACTGCAAACCACAAAAAAAACCACTAGGAAATGAATGACGTTGGCTTTCGTATCAGGAATTTAGAAAGGGAATAACAAATTATCCCAAATGAAGGTGTGAGAAAGGGAATAATAAGAAAAATCAGAGTTGCTCATGAGGAAAAACCAAAACTTGAAAATTCAACAAAGCCAGTGAAGCTCATTCTTGAAAATATTAATTACACTCAAATCCTAACTACAATGAGCAAGAAAAAGAAAGAGCAGGCACGCATTTCCATGTGGGCGTGAAGAAGCAGACAGCCCAGCAGATCCTACACACATTTTCAAAAACTAACCTCAGAACAGGGTGCAAACCTATGCCAATATACCAGAAAATGCAGATTAAATAGATGAAATATTCCAAACTGGAGTTTACTTAATGAACGTAAGAGTAATCAGAGAATCTGACTCACTTTAGATGTGTGTGTGTGTGTGTATGTGTGTGTGTGTGTGTGAAATATACTGACTAATAAAAATGTTCCCATGGTATAAACTCCAGTTCACGAAGCTTCATTGGTGATTTTTTACAAATATTGACACACTAATGAAACGCACAAACACACCCAGAGCATCACAAATGTTTCTTGAGAATAGAAAAAGAGGCAACGTGCCTGGGTGCGGTGGCTCACGCCTGAAATCTCAACACATAGGGAGGCAGAGGCGGCATATTACTTGAGGCCGGGAGTTCAAGACCAGCCTGGCCAACATGGTAAAACCCCATCTCTTACTAAAAATACAAAAATTAGCCAGACATGGTGGTGCACGCTGCAATCCCAGCTACTGGGGAGGCAGAGGCAGGAGAATCATTTGATCCCAGGAGGTGGAGTTTGCAGTGAGCTCAGATCCCACTCCTGCACTCCAGCCTGGTCCATACAGCCAGACTCTGTCTCAAAAAATTTAAAAAAAAAAAAGTCGTCACATATAAAATGGAATTTTCCATTCTATAAAAGGCATGTTTTAAACTCTACACTTTTTTTTGCTTCAAAATAATATTTTTTATTTTATTTTAATGTTTTACTTTATTTTATTTGGCAATTTAAAAGTCTACATATTGAGGGTGCACAACATGATATTTTAGTATATATGAATACCCTGTGAAATCAGTAGGTCAAGTTAATTAACGTATCTGTAATATCACATAGTTATCTTTTTGTTAAGAGAATATTTAAAATCTACTTTTTTTTTTTTATTTTTGAGACGAAGTTTCACTCTGTCACCCAGGCTGGAGTGCAGTGGCGCAATCTCATCTCACCGCAACCTCCACCTCCCAGGTTCAAGTGATCCTCCTGCCCCAGCCTCCCGAGTAACTGGAATTACAGGCATGCACCATCACACCCGGCTAATTTTGTATTTTTAGTAGAGACGGGGTTTGTCCATGTTGGTCAGGCTAGTCTTGAACTCCTGACCTCGTGATTCACTCACCTTGGCCTCCCAGAGTGCTAGGATTATAGGTGTGAGCCACTGCGCTCGGCCCTAAAATCTACTTTCTTACCAGTGTTCGAGTATACCATCCATTGTGAGCAACTGTAGTCACCGTATTGTACAACAGATCTGCTAAACTCACTCCTCCTGTCTAACTGAAACGCGGTATCCTTCGATGCAGCTCTCTGATTCCACCCCCGCCCCCTCAGCTCCCAGGAACCACCTTCGACTCTCTAATTCCATGAGCTGAACTGGGGCAATCCACACGTAAGTGAGATCAGGCAGCAGGGGTCTTCCTGTGCCTTCTTTACTCCATGTAGCATGATGTCCTCTAGGCTCATCCACGTCACAAATGAAACAATTTCCTTCTTCTCGAAGGCTGAGTAGTTTTTCGCTGTGGATACACTGAGCACTTCCTTTCCTGTATCCACTCGCCTGCTGGTGGACACTTGGGCAGGTTCCATGTCTTGGTTATGGTGACTAAAGTTGTCATGAATATGGGAGGGCGGGCGTCTCTTCAACGTACTGATGTCGTTTCCTTTAGATACGCACCCGGCAGTGAAATTGTTACAGCATAGGGCAGTTCTGATCGTTAACTTCTGAAAAACATCTATAGTATTTTTGCGGTCATTGTACTCATTTACATTACCACTAGCAGAGTGCAGGGTTCCATTTTTCCACTTTCTCGCCAACACTTGTTACTCTACTTTTTTTTTTTAGATAGACCCATGCTCCGTGGCCCAGGTTAGAGTGCAGTGGCACGATCTCGGCTTACTGCAACCTCCGCCTCCCGGGTTCAAGCAATTCTCCTGTCTCAGCCTCCCGAGTAGCTGCGACTACAGATGCCTGCCACTACGTCCGGCTAATTTTTTTGTATTTTTAGTAGAGACAGAGTTTCACCTTGTTAGTTAGGCTGGTCTTGAACTCCTGACCTCAGGTGATCCACCCGTCTGAGCCTCCCAAAGTGCTGAGATTACAGGCATGAGACACCACACCCGGCCTATTCTTTTTCATAGTAACTATCCTAACAGACGTGAGGTTATAGCTTATTGAAGTTTATATGTATATATGTATATTTATATATGAAAAAGTATGTGTTCATATGGATACATCCATACATACATATGCACATATGTGCAGATGTGTATGTACATATATTCATGTGTATGTATATATATACACATATGTATACACATGTATGTGTAAAAAGCGAAATTTTGCAGTGAGATATCACCCCACAGCTGTTAGATTGCCTATTATCAAAATGGTAGATCAGATTGTTGAGCATGAGGAGAAAAGAAAATCCTTACACACCATTGGTGGATGTGTAAATTAATACAGCCATTTTAGAAAACAGTATGGAAGCTTCTCAAAAAACTAAACGTGCAACCACCGTGTAATCCAGCAAACCCAGAGGAAAGGATATTGACACACAGAAGAGATGTCCACACTCCTAAGTTCATTGCAGCACTATTCACAATTGCCAAGTTTCACAAACAATTCTATATGTTTGAATAAGGATTCATTGCTGCTCTCCCTGTAGAGAAAACGGGCTCTAATTACACATTAGCTGAACTCTGAGTACTCACCCATGGACGTGTCTGTGAGGGCGCATGTTCACGTGTGTGTGTGTGTGTTTCGATATGTGGTTTTCCCAGTCTGAGTACTCACCCACGTGTGTGTCTCTGAGGGTGCATGTGCACGTGTGTGTGTGTGTGTGTTTTCGTGTGTGGTTTTTTCCATTTTTCCTTCCTCGAGGGTATCACATTACACATTTTGAATCCTGTGATCTTCCAACTAAGTTTCATCATTTAGAATTGCTTTCACCGAGTGTGAAAACAGTAAAAAAATTTTAAATATAGCTCTGGAAATACCCTCCTTTCCCTTTCACTCTCTATCAAGATTTGTGAAATTTTTTTAAATTTATTCTTATTTTAAGTTCTGGGGTGTACGTGCAGGGTCTGCAGGTTTTTTACACAGGTAAACGTGTGCCATGGTGGTTTCCTGCACCTACCAACCCATCACCTAGGTATTAAGCCCAGCATGCTTCAGCTATTTTTCCTAATCCTCTCCCTTTCCCAACCCCACCTCCTCCAGCAGGCCCCAGTGTGTGTTGTCCCCCTCCCTGTGTCCACGTGATCTCCTTGTTCAGCTCCCACTTATAAGTGAGAACATGCAGTGTCTGGTTTTTTGTTCCTGCGTTAGTTTGCTAAGGATAATGGCTTCCAGCTCCATCCATGTCCCTGACAAGGACATGATTTTGTTCCTTTTTATGGC